CCTATTACATGGGACTCATAACATAAATAGTGAAAAGTGGGTGTTACATTGTACAGTGACATTAAGTGCCGTAATGTACACCTCTGCCTACCCCTTCGCGGATAAAAGGCGTGATGTTATGTATGCACTTATTGTAATTTCTTGTACGTATAGGTTGGAAGGTGTAAAAAAATTATACGTGTTTTAAGGTCCGAAAAACACGATTTTTTCCATTTATTTTTAAACGAAGACCAGAACGAAAAGTCATTAAACAGCAACAAAGGACGAAGAAACAGATAACGTTTTTGGTGCATGTACCTAGGTAAGTCTAGAATCTACAGGTACCTACCTAAAGTCTAGGTAACTAACACTTTGATGTTGGGACTTAACAGGGTGATCATCAAAAGGTGGGACCAATACACAGGTACCTAGTACAGGTATTAAAGGGTAGGGTCTAAAATGCAAATTCCAATTGGGAGCGCATTCATGCGAGTACGGACAATAAAGTCATTAACTGTGAGGGCAGAGTTTGATTAAGTTTGACTATTATTAATACGTGAATAATTTAATTAAATAAACTAAAAATTTAACCAATATTTTTTTTACGATTTTCTTTAGGTATGTATAAAAATGTCTTCAATATTTTAGTCACGAATTTTGTATAAGAGACTAGCAAAGATCGATGTTTGTGAAAAACAACTTTAGTAGTATGAGCTAAGTTTGTAATTAAGTTGTGAGAGTTTAGCTGTTGCCATGGAAACGTATCTATAACGAATAAAGTAAATAAGTAACCTACAGGACACACTGACATCTTATAAGTCTTAAAATGATACTGGTCAGTAAAATAAATACTAAATTCCATTTTTAAACAATGTACAAGGCTGATGAGATCTGGGCGTGTTGCTAAAATGTTCTAAAATAATCAACTTAGTGAATAATTCTATCATAAATTAGGTTCATAAATTGCAGACAGTATGGAGCGAGATTTTGTCGAAACAATGTGTCGAATAGGATGCTATAGATAGCGGAATGAATATTTAGGTCAATACCGATGGCCTCCAGCGCAGTTTCAATCTAATTATGACTCACGTTAAATTTTCACTCGTATTGTTTAGTAAATTAACTTTGTCATAGAATAAACTCATTAAATTGGATCTCTATCGCTAATTCAGAAAAAAAAAAATACAATATATTATTTATATTTTAAAGTAAAAAAACTGTAAAATCAAGAACAAGATCTATAATAAGGAATTTGGTTAAAACTGGTGAACTATTTCGAACGTGTCTACCAAGCCCGGCTAGCTCAGTCGGTAGAGCATGAGACTCTTAATCTCAGGGTCGTGGGTTCGAGCCCCACGTTGGGCGCTACACTCTTTTTGTTCAATCTTTTTTCTTAAGATTACCAATAATAACAGGAAAACCAATGCTAAAACATTCATCTGTAAGTATTTTTAGCAATAGTTTATAGTTTCGTTGTAATTCGAGAAGATATGTGAATTTATGTCCATTTATCACTTAGATCAATGTTAGCGCCGCATGTTAGAGTCAGATGTGACCTCATTTCGGCTAAATATCATACAATGTCGGTCATTTAAACAGCATTAAAAGTACCATACATATATGTATGTAATATAGATAGGTATTACACTGCGAGCCACGAAATATGGTAACCTCGTTTTGCGTTACTGGATTTCTGTCCTTACACTGTAGCAAGGAATTATTAATTAACGTAAAACAATACTTAGTTATTCATAGACGCTATAAACCTTGATTTGTTGTTATGAACTTAGGAATAGAGTATTAGATCTGTTAATTTTGAGTTCATAGGATATGTTATGGTGAGATTAAGGTCGTAATTTTGAGGCATGTGAGTTTGATTCCTCCGTAAGAGAAAAATTTGAAATTACTTATTTGACATCATCTTTGCAATAAAACGAATATTACCTAGATACTAGAAACAGCAACCTTTTAACTAAACCACATATTTATTTCCTTTGATATAGCTGTAGACACTCTCTCACCAAAATATTCATGACTTAGATGTAAGTACAAGTAGAGGCAGGTGCAGACATCTAAGTAAAGTGGTCTGCCGTATAACGCACGGGAAGACAGACAATGCAGATCCCGTACAGTTTGCAAGGCATTTACTGGCTGTATAGTGTATAGCCTGTGCCGACCGGGCCCAGACACCTTTTGTTTCATAGTACGTCACCCACACACGCGTATTTCAGACTTTACTACAGTTCGCAGCAAATCAAGGTGCTCCAATATGTCATTTTAACCACTGGATTTTCAACCTTATGTTAAAGCGATAAAGTGGAAAATCGTATAAAGACATTAGACAAAAAAGTGTAGGTTGACCTGCTGGTCAGAGTTTAGTGCATAAAATGAATCTGTCCAGGATTGTGCCAGATTAATGTGAACCTAATAACCACAGTGATATTGATTAGATTTTAATATTTATTAGTACTTATTTGTCATACAACATGTGTGATTCGAACAGGTTTTTGGTATGAAGTAGTAGTTAGTCCAAGTACGGATGTACTTGAGTGTTAAAATTACAAAAAGGCTTGTGCTTACGTACTGTTACTTTATACATAAAAAGTGACCTCCTTTTCATATAATTCGCATGTTTCTTTTTTTAGTAATGTCTAGGTCATTTTTTGTATGTTTCACATATATGTTAGAAATAGTATCACTATTGATAAGGTTATTTTTCAATAATATAGGGTGCTTTTTTAATATGTCAATAAGATCAGGGATCTACGTGAGAGATATCTTATAAATTCTACACAATTGAACAGCAATCGTTTGTTAAAAAGTTTATTTTGCACAAATGTATGGTTAGGTACTAGACGTATTACTAATTATTATTATATCCTTAATGAAATTATACATACGTGCATTATTAACTGCCCTGTGACTACTTTTGTAGTACCAATTGTCCTGTTTGGATCTAAGTTTAATTTTGACTAGACAAAAGGATAATTATAATTCATATTCCATATTCAATAAATAATTATTTATCGTGAATTCTTTTCCAATTATTCTGTAAATTACTAATATAATAGTTATTGTTGTATAACGACCTGTGTAAAACTGAAGGACGGTAATTAGTCTGTCTATAAAGTTATATCAATTAAATATGATTGTAATATCAATAAAACAATTTGTTTGAAAATTTTATTTATGGATAGAATATTTATACCTTTTTGAAAATACTTTTTAAATGGTTTACAATTGAATCGTTACAATACACATAGTAAGACTTTTACATAATTATGTTTAATAAAATGACATTGACTATTTTACCAACAAACTAAAAAAATTGCGCACGTTACATACAAACTAGTCTATCGAAAGTTCGAAACACAATCATGTTAACATTCATTATAAAAATTGAACCTGGTATATTGTGCTCAGTAGCTTTGTACTACGGCTACGAACGAGCCGGTTTTCACCACCAGCCACCAGCTACGATATAGTGACGTGTTTAGATTGCATGGACAATACTCGATCCTCCCACACAACTGACAAACTGCAAGGAAAGTGCAATTCCGATTGCACTTTACTAACAAACTGCTACGATGTACTAAGTAAATATGTCATTTAGTAAAAATGTTTTATTACTTGCCGTTTGTTAGACTGCCTCGTTGGCCGAGTGGTCGCAATTGCGATTCCCGGGCAAGGGACGTCGGGTTCAATTCTCGGGTCGGGCAAAGTATTTCTGGGCTTTTAATAAATTCTCAGTAGTCGCACGAAGTCTGGAATTGTGCCCGGTATATGGCCATAGGCTCACCCCCAATTACATAGGACTCAAAACATAGATAGTGAAAAGTAGGTGTTACATTGTACAGTGGCATGAAGTGCCGCAATGTGCACATCTGCCTTTCTGCCCCTTCGGGAATAAAAGGCATGATGTTATGTTATGTTATGTATTAATCCCAATTCCAACTAATAATGGTATAAATGCGAAAGTTAGTTAGTTACCTCTTTGTGTTTTATCTAATCAACTTGAAATTTCGCTTACATATATGAGCTTGACTGCACGGTTGGTGCGGTGGCTGGGCAAAAGGCTGCCATGCAACGTGTCGAGGGTTTGATTCCCGCACGGAGCAACTCTTTGTGTTAATTATGTTGTTTCGGGTCTAGGTGTCATGTGTATGTTAAATTATAGAGGTATGTTTGTAAACGCATCCACAATACAGGAGAAAAACTTAGTGTGGAGGAACATTTAAAAAAAAATTTACGTGGGCACAGCCATAGGTAAATGTATTTAAGTTGTTAATATGTATTGACATTAAAATCATCTAGAAATTGTCACAAGAGTTATGACTAAAGAATTAACCGTACCGTCATTTGAAGGGTCGACATATCTGCGGGCGACTTCCTCAATATAATAGACAGCATTTTGAGAACTTAATACATTATTGTATCCATGTTATGTTTTCTGATTTATATACCCATTAAAAGTCTGAAGTCTCTTATCCAACAAAGGTTTCCGATATGCGTGCAAACTTGATTGATGAATGTTGATACTTAATAAAGCATAAAGTACTGGACAGTGGTCATATCAACATTATCTCGGGTATAAATTTACTTTCTATCTTTTCATGTGAAATAACTCGGTAAATACCACTAATGGTATATTAACAAATAATAAATAATAACATGTTATGGAAATATCCATGAGGATTACGTGCTACTAAGTGCAATTAAGTTTACCTGCGATACACACAGGTACAAAGTCACGTAGAATAGACCGAATGGAGTTCCAACTTATGCTACAATTTTACGTCGTTTCACCTAATAATACTGCAGAAATTCTACAAGTATACAATCGTTATCATCGTATGACCTGAGTATTTTTTAGGAGTGAATGTAGCTTTTGGTTTCTATTACTTCTGTAATTTTGAAGATTTTATGCAGTTCTTGCTGTCTTGTCCCTCCATTTCCTAAATACTCTTTAATCTCATTGACCAGTTATCACTTGCATAACTAAAGTTTTACACAAACACGGCCTATATGCGCTTGCGCAGGAAGCCGTTAACATCGCGGTCACGCTGTGTTTAAACTGTAATTAAATCGGGTTTCAAATCTGATTGAACTCATCCTGTTCGAAGTAACTAATTTAATTTGTTGTAAATTTGTTTTGTAAATGATTATAGAAAGAAGATATAAAGTGGAAAAAGCTACCAAAAATCTTTGAGATGTGGTTTCAAAATAATTATTCTATTTGTTTGTGTCCACAAATATTTAATCGTTTTAATACATTTGATAATAGAGTGGAGTCTGAACCCATGTCAGGACTAGCTGTCGCACGGTACCAATAAAATTAGTCGAATTTTTCACTATTTGTAACGGTCCACGAAATAAATGAGCGGGATGTCTTCCCGACTCGCGGAGGACTAGAGGCATGCCTCCCACTCGTCACTTAGCCCATTAATCTCCTCCCAAACGGTCCGTCCGTCTGTCACTGCCAGTAATCTAATACGACACGCCAGCTTTTTGTCCCCATATTACTTGCACTCAGTAGAAATACGCCTTCAAATGGTCGTTAATCCGTCAGTGGATAACGGTCCGTTTAAGGGAGAATCAAACATTCCACGGGTCAAAGGGAGACCTTCATTGCGAGCTTCCATGAGGACTTACATAACTTCACGTTTGTATTAAATAACTAGAGGTACATGCGAATATGTTGTGAATAATAAAATTAATGGGACCTACCTGAATGACCGACATTCTATGGTATAGAATAGATATTAATGTTGTCCTTATGTTTTATTAAATGATCGTATACATATCCTAAGTCGCTCAGCTTTAGAGATTAAATTTGCCTGTGTAAACAAAAGCCATTTACTAAAACGGCAGTGCCTTCCAACTGCTTTTGTTTCGTATGAAAAGATTTCACACAAATCTGGGCGAGTGCTCAAAAATGGCTGTGTAAAGAAAGACATTGTCTGCTAAATCAGACAGATTCAGATAACGCAGACAATGCCAGTATAATAAGCAGCACGTTTCCGGTGCTTGGGACAGGATTCAAGTTTATAAGTCCTCAGGATACACGTAACTTATACTATTTAGTATTCATGAGCTAGGATGGAGGCATCTTCCTACATATTCTACGCCAGAGGACTGATTCAAAATTGGTTGTAGTTTCATATTTAGATTAGCGTCTAGTATATTGGATTACAATGACTGTGATAAAATATTTGTATAAAACTTACCGCAGATTTCTCGTGCGCGCTGCGCGTGGGCCGGGACCTCGGCGCCGCTGCACTCGTCGCTAACATGGCCAGGAACAACCCCACGACGGCTATGGCACGCACGTGAACGCGAACGCCCATTGTCCTCCCGATCGCTCCCATCCACTCCCGTGCATTGCGACTACATTTAAATTTCAAATTAGCGGCCCGCCTTGAACCACCGCATTCGTCAACCTCAACCCTCTTTCTGATAATCGATTCTTTTCCGTATACGTCTTCTTTGTTATGCAATACGCATCGTTCATGGACTCTATCTGTGGCAGGGCATCGTCTTTCAGACTCATGTTGGCATTCTAATTTCCTTTTATTTAGTATCCTACATCTATCTAAGTCAGTCATTTTGTGAACTTTTTCTAAATTATCATTGGAATGATTGTCGTGTGCCATTCTATCCACGTTAGTTTCTACACAAGACGTTTGTGAGTTATTGTTTGTTGCGCTCGGTGCAGCGCCTTCAGTGATGTGATCCATGTTGGATGAGGGTATCGCAGCGATAGTGAGTTTTGAACTTCTGTGAGAGTGATGTGCGGACGTGTCGCGTTTGTAGTGTGTCGGGGAGTCAGACAACATGGTGGCAACAACAGTGGGTAGTTCGCAGGTGTCAGCTAACCATATTAGAGTGCCGGCAGTTTCGAGCAGTTCTCTCATCAGCACTGTTATAGCATGGAGCACTTTATCGACATGCTTCCTGTTACCGTGTTCCAGATTATTAATTTCTCTGTGGACGGGATGCTCTGTTATCTCGCTACGTGGGCGATGCGCTGTGTTTGTTTTGTACTTATAATATTCTTGTGGGCACAAGATATCGAAGCGATTTCTGGAACAAAAGAAAGATATTTGATAATTTAATGAGATAAGTTACAGTACAAAGAAATTCTTTGCGTGTTGTGTGCAAAGTTTTGTTGTATTTTTCATTAGTAATGTTGTTGACATTGTGCGTTAATTAGATTCCATAGCATCGGACTCAGGTATTAAATAAACGTTGAGAGGACCATATGAGATCATGAACTCGTAGCTCTATACAGTAACATTGAAAACAGGAAATCCAGATAAGGCGAGCTCTCACAGAGACTTAATATTGACTGATGTACTGGTCAGTGCGCGTTGATAAATGAAGAGAAAGTTAGTATTTAATTATATTTCTGAGATAACACCTGCGCCCTTAGCATAAATCTTCATTTATAATTATATAACAAGTAGATACATTGTTTGTAAACACTTTGTATAAATAAACGGAGATCGTAGAGCTGGTGCCTTCGTTTAGTTCATAGTCGAGTGAGATACAATTCGAACTTTAATAACAATTGGCTGAATAGAATCACATAGGTGATTGTAATTATAGACTTACAAAGAACGATAGTTATCCAAGCAAGTGCACTGAATAAGAACTTATACATTAAATATAATTGGATAGAGACGTATATTGTTGTATTCCAATACCTATAGGAGTTCAATAAATTAATTGAGTCAGCAATTATAGTAAACTTTTCCTTAATAAGTTATTTTCAATTATATGTATGTTCCCAATAATTTTCTTTGCGTATTTCCCAATAATTAGTTGAGTAACTAATGTTTGTGCAGTGCACTTAGGTACCTACCAATTATGACTATGGAAATGCTAAGACTATAAAACAATACCAAACAATAAACATATAATAAAATCCTACTGTCAGGAACGACTTTAACGATTTTGATGAAACTCGCAATATTTTAGTAGAAGACCAAGTTGAGTTTGTTGCTCAGATATGTATTTTAAATAAATGAAATATATAATATTTATACAACTTATCTTGATACCCATATTTATTGTCCTGTCACAGCTGTTGGTACATTTCGGATTGTTTCACCGAAAATTAACACCAGTAGACAGGCAATTAGCATTCTAAATGTAGGTCAGGAAGTAACTAAAATTCAAAAGTACGTCATCTCAAATCATGATGCTAACAAAAGACAATCGTGTTGTTGCTCGCGTGTTCGCGAATCTATCATCATTTTTTCATGTTCCATGGTACATTAAGAATTTTGGATTAATAAAGCCATAAGCAATAAGGTTATAAGCCTAGAGACTGGATAGATCCAGTAAAACCAGTCGATTTAAAAGTATTTAGTGAAGCCTATATTCAGCAGTGCATGTCATAAGGCTCACACAATGATGATGGAACCCTAACATTAGCTGTCACTTGCCACTATTTGACCACAGGATTTGACGCAATAGGAAAAAGTAATAGGTATGATGACAGGAAAGTTTATATACATATGGTGGTTTACTAAGCAATGTGAGTCCTTATTAACTTTCATTAAATATGTACATTAACATTTTTGTGTACACTAACATCTGAACATGAACTGAACATTTTTATTAAAAATGGCTTATAATAAAAATGGGAAGGGTCAGTAAGCAAGACTTGTAATAAACAGGGATATATCTAAGCAATACCACTTGATACGTCCAATATTCTATTTTCAAACCTACTAGTACTAGCACAGAATCTATTATAGCGCATGTGCACTATAGACCCAAGAGTAAATCAGGTGACAAGTAAAGAGCTACGTATTTAGAAAGAGAAAGAAAAGCGAATTTGAGTAACCATGTATTTTGCATCTTTGCATCCAATACGAGTATAAACATTTTTAAAATCCATTAGGGAAACAAGATTCCCCATATGAAACCTTATTTCTAAGATCCTTAGACCTCAAGTTCAGGTGACAGATCTCTTATCCTCCAACCACATCATACACTGTTTGATTTCTAAAATAATTACTATATGTATTAACTATAATCTAATTAACTATATGAAGAGGTTTCAAACACGATTGCTTCTAAAATTAGTCTTTGTTGTAGGCACCCTATGCAATTATCTATTTAATTTAATGTCTAATTCAATCTTTGTGCTTCTGAAATTGTAAATATCTTGACTAGTTTCAATTGTTTTGGACAACCAATTAGACTTAGGAATTTGCTGTCATGAATTTAGTAAATGTTTAAATTCTTGAATCCTTTGAATTCAGTTAATATAATAATCGGTATATTGTCTGTGTATCTCTCTCTCTCTCTCCCTTGCGCTACTAAAAACACTAAAAAAATTTAGATAAAATCTCGTACATGGGTAGATAGCACTAGCATATGGCCTAGATTGATACAGTACAGGATACTTTTTATCCTTATAATGGAGATAAAAATTTCGAGTAAAAGATATTCATAAATAGGCAAAATACTGTTGTCCAAAATTAAATCTGTTATTTTTATTATTTCGAGCCCTAATGGGCTCGAAATAATTAAAAGTTTATCGTTACAAATGCCGTGCATTCCAGAAATAATGTCAAAACCATTTTCACTTCAAAAACTATCCAGCCATTTGAGGAAACTAAAGTGACAAACGAACAAACAAATCAATAATTACAATTATGGCGCCTAACTGTCAAAATGACGTTCAACTGTCATTAATGTCAAACGAATGGATGCGTTCGTGATATATGGATTAGCAATAGATTAAAGGTTGTTCAGTGGTACGAAAATAAATTGTATATTTGTACTCAATGCTTAGAACCTCATTCGTATCTAATTAAATGTCAGTCTCGATGATGGATCTAGGTCTCAATACATCAAATACATCATCGAGGTATCAAAAAGGCTTTTAACAATTAAGAAAATCGGTCTGTAATTTCTGTAATTATGAATCAGTCTGCTTGGTAGAGCAATTTCATACATTCATAAATACCAGACACCTTTGGAACTATAAAGGTCATTGGCCTGAATTTTTTGCTTTGTATCTATTATTTTCATTTTATCGATTGATTTGATAGGTCACCTGGCCATATGGTTTTTAAATAAAATTCTTTATGATTAATATCTATTAGAAGTAATACTAACTACGCCGTAATATTACCAACAAAAATGTTTTGGAAACAGGTATTAGGGTAGGTTAGTAGGTGTTGTCCAATAAATACTGATATTCTTTTATTTCAGCCCATAATAATTACGATACGAAACTGATATGACCTACTATTTCATAATTTAAAGCAAATTCCCTTAAATAAAACTGAAACTGGTCAGATAAATAATGAGCGCAACAGGCCTAATAAAGTTCTTCAGTAACATTTGTCGGTAGCACATGACATATGGTTACCGAAACAATATGAATAAGGAAAGTTCTACCATTAAATCTACTAAAATGTAGTGTTAACGGTCATAACACTTTAAAACTAACCGTACATTTAATAATATTTAGAAAGCTCTTAAACATAAGTTTTAAAAGATAAGAGTAATAAGACGGAGCTTAGTGAGACGTTGGCACAAGTAACATGCAAGTGATCCTAAGTGAAGACTATTTATAAACGAACTCAAGTCTAATTGGAGCCGTCCACATGACCGAGAGTGATCTACAAATAAATCATAACACAACACTGATACTAATTCAGCACTACTACAGGACAACACACAAATAAATAAATACTAAACACATGCTCTATTATTATTACCATTTATGAGTTAGTAAAGACTCAAACAAAACAAGCGCATAAGTCCAATAAAAAGCTAAACAAACAAAACTTACATTTTCTTAATCCGCTCTACTTTACATACAGCAAAGAAAATCGTGAAAAAAAAACAAAACAACGCTTGCTTAACACTCGGCCTTCCTTTCCCTTTCGACTCAACCGAGAGGGATAGCGAATAAGCTTACACAGCTGACACTGAAAGCACTAATAACTTAATAAAATTCACACTGAGACTTTATACATCCGATGAATCGGTATCCAAAAATGATGAAGCTAGTTAATTCTCTACGGAGTTGCCAAAAAATCGATAAATAGAACATACAAATAAACACTACTATTTAGTCATACGTACAAACTGTAAGTACAAAATTCAACTAACGCACTGTTTCTGTGGAAATTCAAATTTAGTACGAGTTTATCGTAAATGAAAAACAACAGTGTCCATGAGCGGAACGCTCGGCTCGCGTTCACCGCGACCACGCGCGAGCTAACTACTAAACTTTGGGACGGGCAACGGAACGGCTCCGTTATGCTGCCACAACACACGGCATTTGTCACGTCTCGCTGTCCCTTTCTTTTTGCATGGCAGAGATGAGAGCCCGAATCGAACGTGCGTATCATCAGACTGTAGAAGTTTAGTGCGCCGACGGTTATTTCATGTGTGCCTCGGTGCTGTGTAAAATATCTTCACAAATGAAGGGTTCGAAGCTTTGTTGTATTCTTGTCGACGCACTATGTATTGCTTATGCATAAAGCAATTCATTTTGATTAAAAAGGGACTCGTTTTCATATTGCTGTTTAATTTTGCAAAATGCAAAAAATTAAGCTACGCAAACCTGTCCGTAAAACTCTCCCCAGGTGTATAGTAATAAAGTAAGTAAAAATGTTCCATTAATGGAGCTCTCCTTACTGCCCAGCCCATACTCGTCCATTTATCTTATACACACATCCACAGGTCCAATATTAACTATTATATGATTGCAATATTTAGTGCTTTTCTAATAACTTTGCACTGAAAACACTACACTTAAAACAAAAATGGTCTGAAATATTAATATTTACTCACAATGTCCTGATGTTGCGGAACATATAACCTCAATACACACTTGATGAATTTGTTTTGTATTTCTTTGGAACTCAGCTTCTGTAGGGCCCTTTGTGCATCGTTTCAAAAGAAGTTATTAGTGCAGTTCAGTGCTTTTAATTAACACAGTTTACCGTTAAGAAAAAACAAAAGCCTCTTGTAATCAAGTTCAAAAATAATTAACAACGAACTTTATTGCTGTGAAAACTTGATACAAAATTGATTGAATATCGATTTTAAAATTTCATGTTTTTGTCTAAACTGGAGTTTTATATGTAGAGAACGCCGTCTAGACACGCAGTAACTAGGTAAGCTCCAGACGCGGTTAGTTTTGGAACATAACATCTGGTCTAGACATGAGACGGTTGCATATTGACTAGTAACCATAATGTATTGTAAACAATGGTATTTTTGCTAGTCCAAAATAGATCGTAACCTATTTTTCTGACGAATGAAATTACTCATTGAATCGTTAAAGTTAAAAGTAGGCCTACGTTTTATTGGGTCACCCCTTGCATTCTCATCTTAATGGCCATTCAAATATTTTTAGGAACCCACATTCAACAATGCGAACTTCAACAAAAAATATTGATGTCATATAGAAATTATGTCCCCAATTGACCTGGAAAGGAAGAATGAATCAATAACTTATCTTGATTTATTTTTAATAAGGAAATGTACTCAATAATCTAATTCCTATAAATCAAACGGAACTTGCTCGCAATATTAATCACATTTCTTATAATTACAATCGCGTTTCCTTTTTTCGCAAAACAGGTGATCATATTGTGGTATACCTGAGGAATGCTACGACTATACGATGATAAATGTTAGCTAATATTATTAGAACGAATGAAGGAGAGTTGATCGAGTGATTGCACACTCGATAGTGAGTAATATAGTGTAAATAAAACATTCAGCGCTAATGAGTCAGTCAGCCTGTACAAGATTATAAAAAAATGGCTGACTCTGATTTTTTCTGCGTCCACAGACCGCAACGTTTTCTACCTTTGCGTAATGACCTAATGCGATTGAGGTGTCTATATCTTTGCAAGCGGTTCTACTTCGATTGCTTTTATTTTTATATATTTTTGTTTATTGCGTGCTTTTAATGTGTATAAATAATTCCTTGACTTTTGCAAAACTTTCATAATTACGTATTATATTGTTTTTTTTAATTCTCAGTGGTAGCACGGAGTCTGTAATTGTGCCCGGTATATGGCAATACACTCACCCCCTATTACATGGGACTCATAACAAAAATAGTGAAAAGTGGGTGTTACATTATACTGTAGCATTAAGTGCTGCAATGTGCACCTCTGCCTATTCCGTTCGGGGGTAAAAAGTGTGATGTTATGCCCCTGTTGCTTTAATTAGACAGTCACTCCAGAACCAAACTTAAGACCGTCCACATTCATACTTGCGATCTGGACCAGCAAAACCATTCGAATTTTAAATTAGGTTTGAGGACGTAAAACATAAAGCAATTTATCAAATAATTTACCTACTAAGGTACAAAGTATAGACTGACTACATGAAGTCAATTAAATCACGTCCTACGAAGGAATACAATTTGTCTGGATGTGTCTCATAAACAGGAAAACTGACGTTTAAAGGAAATATAAGTTCACGGTAATGTACTATAATGCGGCAGTTAGCATATTCTGTGTTAGGTCAGACAGGTAGACCTCAGGGGGCATCGACAATGTTTCAACACTTATATGGAGCCGTTCTAAAGTTGGATGTTAATGTGTGCCTTCATTGTATGGTATTTAACTTACAATACAATTGCTGTGTGTCACATTGTACAAGTTTTATAGAGTGTTGTATTTATTGCATCGGTAGTTTTTGTTAAGGTGATCGATCCCTAGAATTTTTTTCTTCCTCTGGACAGTCTCAATAATTGCACTGGTATAGGTGCATATGCAAGTTAACTAATCTCAACAGTATCTGCCTACTCTCCCAGTGGACAGCATGATAACACGATTATTACTTATTTGGAGTCCCTTATTTTATAAGAAAATGGACGATAAGAAACACGAGATTGTATCAGTGACAAGTGTTGTGCGCTTGTGGCAGATTTAGTTTAACGTTTTTTTTTATATAATGTTGTTTCATACAAGGCAAGGTTCCTCCACTATTTGCAAATGTGCATTTTGCTTCTGAAAATAATTTCATATCTAACGAGTATCATTTTCGATCTCCAGACACGAGAACAGGAAGGAAGGCCTAATTATTGATTCAAATTTTGTCAGAAGAGGCATTGGTGCAGGAAGAGAATAGTAATTGTTGAACAATTATTAGCCTATTATGCAAACGGGCATTTTTAACATTTATTTCTGACTCAAATGAAACTCCTTCTGTGACTTTCCATACCTCATTCGTTGTTCTAAAGTCCGGCCTTTCACAAAACATTTTAATATTAGCGCGTGGTGAGCGCAGTTTTCACATAAGGAAATAGTACGTGCCTCGAGGAGTGGCGGCCGAGGCGCCGGCGCAACGTGACTTTGACCCACGACTGTGTGTTGTTATTATACCAATCACGGTGCCACACATGTTTTTCAAATATTATCGAAAGCATGTTTAAATGGACTTTTGTTAGTTTGAATGAAAATAGAATATCGGTTTTGATTAAAGGTTATTTTCCGTAATTTATTTTGATGGTAAGTCTTTCAGTTAGTTTGTCTGGCTAATTATAGCTGGCGACACAGACGATAAGCGAAAACTATAAAGAAAACTGATATGTGAAAAATTTTAAGTGTTACCAATGTGTGCTAGATAACTGCTAACCTGTGCTGTTAATAACCTGTCTCAAAAATTTTTACATCAATATCAAGATTGAACAACTTTATAGACTGAAATGTAAAATTATATTATTTTAATAAAAAATCCGTTACCGATTACTACCAATTTTTTAAATATTTTGAGTAGTAAAATAAGAGAGCGTTGCAGTACCACCGAAAACTACTCCACGCGTTCGAGTGGCACTCAACTAGAGAACGTGCTAAACAAAATCTGTTGAATCATTTCGACCTTTGCATAGTAATGTTTGTGCAAATATGCATATTAGTGAAGACTCATTCAAGTCATTCTTCCTAAACCTGCGGTCAAAGTCAATGACAAAATCCGGACACATTTTTTAAAAGTTAAATGTAATAAATAGGCAGCTGTCATAACAGTAAACATTGTCATTTCTTTCCATAACAAACACGATAATAATGTTTGTTTGTTAGTTT